CTGTTCGTATCGCGGTGAAGGCAGATAAAATTAAATACAAATATTATATTTAGTGATATTATAATAATTAAAAATATATATTAATAGTATAAATACTATATTTATAAGTATACAAATATTTGTTTATTGTAAGACCCTGTTATTTATTGGACGTTATCTATAATATGCATCTGTGTAACGGACCAAGTTCAAGGCGTCTTAATATCTAGAAAATTTGCACGCGTTTCGATTACGTTTGATAGTACGATATTGATACTTTAGCCTTTAATCTTGACGGCGATCATGACGATGAGGTTATTTTTTTATGTTTGAGAGATTACTGTTGGCCCGGAGGCCTTTCCAGTTTTACTAGGGCAGGTGGGCGAGCAAGGGCTCAGCCAGGAGTGGTGGGATTTGCTAACATCTGCCCGAGCCCCTCCAAAGGAGACTTAACAACTCAAGAGTGGCTGCTTCGCGAATGAATCTACTACCGGATCGAAATCGCAACCCGCTGAGAAGATCCGGCGAGAAACTCTGCGGGCTAAATTTATTTCTAGTTCTGCTTCCTATTAACCCTTTGACTGGCATGTGTGTGAAAGGTACCCTACGTAGCGCACTGAATTACTTAACACTAATCATACCAACACTTACTGGTACCTATTTCTACCATAGCGGGTAGAAATGGTATACAACAAATATTACTCAAAATAAACAAAACAAAATAGTATAATAACTGTAGATTAATTGATAAGAAAAAGTCATGAAGTCAAATGTGCAAAAGCAATAAGATGGTACGTGCATTTTTAATGCAAAAGCTCAAAATTGGTAATTTGACCCGTTATGCTATAGGTATTTAGTGTTAAGTATCTTTTTTTTTTTTTAGATTGGTGGACGAGCTCACAGCCCACCTGGTGTTAAGTGGTTACTGGAGCCCATAGACATCTACAACGTAAATGCGCCAACCACCTTGAGATATAAGTTCTAAGGTCTCAGTAAAGTGACAACGGCTACCCCACCCTTCGAACCGAAACGCATTACTGCTTCACGGCGGAAATAGGCGGGGTGGTGGTACCTACCCGTGCGGACTCCCAAGAGGTCCTACCACCAGTGAAACCACCACGATTTCTGTTATTAATCGCCCGGATTGGCTAACTTCGCCTTCTTTTGTTTTTAATATATGTTTTTCGTCTTCAAGGTCTCTTACCGATAGAATCATTCTCAATATCTACGGATTCGTCTTTCCCAGACTCTACTTGATATTCCGGCGCCTTAGTAACAGAGCATACCCGACCTTGTAGACCGAATGATAAACAGTCGATGACGCCCTGAACACGTCATTACGGATCCTCCCGATCCATTAACGGTGCTTTTAGGTACCACAAGCACCGGTCCTCGTTATCGCCGAACCCGTCAAAAATGCATTAAATTAATAAAAAAAAACATTACATACACTACCATGTATTTGACACAACACATACGTATAAATATACTCTTGGTTTATTACTCGATTACTCAATTATTTTTTTAAAGTCTGTGGTCAAATTGAGAATCGATTAATATTATTTGTCTTTAATGTTATTTATCTATAATGTAGTTTTGGCGAAATCTGTGATTATATTATAGATGTATAATATGTTTGACAATAGAACAGTAAAACAATTCCAATTAATTATAGTCGAATTTCGACTACTGCGGGACCATTAGTCTATATAGAAGGCTAAAGCAGTGGAACCCATAAGGAACTTTGTTCCAAAAACCTGATTGTTTCGTGGCAGAAATGCGCCCTAATACCAGTAAATTTCAAACAAGCCTTTCCAATTTCTAATCATTTTAATTTACCGCGTAGTCAAATTCAACCACGAAGAGTGAGAGAGAGAGAGAGAGAGAGAGTATTCTTTATTGTACACCAAAAAACAAATAAACAGTGCGATACATTAAAAACAAAAAAAGTACAATTGGTGGTCTTATCGCTAAGAGCGATTTCTTCCAGACAACCATCAGGTGGACAAGAATCATTTAGAAACGAACTACGCGCGGTGTACCATTCCAGTGAAATACATAATAATATACATATATGTACACATACATATCTCCGTAAATATACATACAATTAATACAAAGTATTATAATATAATAATAATTATTAAAAATAAAAAATAATAAAAATTAAATTTTGCTTCTTTACACATAAATAAGAATAAGCAATTTACATATAAAATATACTTAAAATACCTTTAAAACATATACAATTTAAATAGATACCAATTTCAGAAACTACCCTATCACATATTAAATCGGTTGACTAATATTTAAAAGTGCTCTAAGTTCCTCTAAAAGCGGAGTGCTCTTCCAGCAGATTATTAAGGCAAGGTCACTAAGTTATTATGTGGTTGGCACGGCTATAAAATAAATAGATGTGTCATACAATTACGTGGACCGTTCCTTATTGCTTTAACATGATTGATTGTGTTTATCTAGTCTTTTTTTTAAGCTGTATCTTGTATTTTTGTTAATCACCTAAACATTAACTTATTTTGTTTGCGATTAAAGGTGGTAAGGCCAAGAATAAGCGCAGTAGAACGTTAAAATCATATTTGAAATTTTTTTTATCATTCATCTATACTAATATATAAATCTACAGTGGTTTTTACGGATGTTCCGTTATAACTACTGAACAATGCATCCGATTGACTTGAAACTTGGTATCCATGTAGGAAATACATGTACTTAATGGATAGGCTAATATTTATGTAAGCTTTGTGTTGACGTTGACGTTAACAGAACCATTAATATTTGGGTATGTAGGTAGGTATCAGAAAAACATTCAACCATTTTTAATAAAACTCCTTGTGAATTAGCTTAATTATAAAAGTAAAAAGGACGATTCAAATTTGAATATAAGAACAGTAAAGCATGAACATTTAATTGTCGATTCTCTGTTTTAGATGAATCACATAGTGTTTTGTTTTAAGAAGAAAGATAATAGATAATCTTATATTTATATGAGTGTTGGCCTCCCTACACCAGTTGCGGGGGTGTTAATGATGAGAATCTTTGTGGGGGTGAGAAATAATAATGTTAATTTTTAATGCCCAGCAAAGCGGACGGGTACAGCTAGTATTATTATAATTTTGAGAGCGTACCGGTAGACGTAGCGTGGGTAGGCCTCCCACAAGATGGACTGATGGCCTATTGAGGTTCCCGGGGATCCGCTGGATGCAAGCAGCGCAGGACTTATCTTTATGGCGAGGCTTGGGGAGGCCTATGTCAATCAGTGACTGTCTGTGGGCTGATAAGAAGAAGAAGAAGAGATCTTTCAGATATTAAGCTGGAAAGAAGGATGCTGAGTAGGTAACTGCGCTTTGATTTTAGCGAAAAGTACGAGAAACGACAATATCGAATACATGTCCATTATTGAGCTAGGTTCGGGTAATAAGGCCAACGTTACAGGTTCAAGGACAAGGTTAAACGTCACCAAAGAAATGTAGCTAATAAGGCAGTAATTACATTTTTTGAGGATTTAATAATCGATTAAATCGTTTTTTATTTATTTATTTTTTTATTTTTTATTGCTTTGATGGACGAGCTCACGGCCCACCTAGAGTTAAGCGGTTACCGGAATCCATAGACATCTACAACGTAAATGCCGCCACCCACCTTGAAATATAAGTTCTAAGGTCTCAGTATAGTTACAACGGCTGCTCCACCCTTCAAACCGAAACGCATTACTGCTTCACGGCAGAAATAGAGAGGGTGGTGGTGCGGACTCATAAGAGGTCCTACCACCAGTATCCACCACGATCGTTGAGTGAATTGAAAGTTTTCTGGCGGGAGAAAGAGGAAGGCTTTATACAATACCTATGAGACTTAGACGATCTCAAGGTGGGTCATATTTGACTTCTACGGCTTTTGGCAATCAGTTAACGCCAATGTGCCCTGTGATGGTCTGATAGAGTAACAGTAAAACAAGATTAGTTATAGATACATTTCTCTGTTATAATTTATTGATTTCAGTAAATTAATAATGTCATTACGTAGTAAGATTCAGAAATATGTTAAGATCTCAAAAAAATTATAATGAAATTTCTGATGCTACCGAAATAATATAACGACAGCAAAAACGCGAGATTAAGCCGTAAAAATACCTAGTTTCAATAATGTCTAGAACTCGCGAAATCCAAAGAAATTCAATAAAATTAAATCCAATTGTTTTAATAAATTACAAGTGTGAGCGAATGAGTAATGTAATGTCGATCCGGCTTTTACAGCGTTACATAAGTTTTTAGTTCTTACATCTACAGAACGGTTTTGTTTTTATTTGGTGAACTCAATTACTTTCACTCAGCTTAACACCATGACTTAATGCGTGTGGTCGAAACGAGTCGAGAATGTCAGTATAGCACTACACTTAATATACAAGAAATGTCCTTAGGTATCTCAGTTGTCAAAGGGTCATATCCAATAGAGTAGAAAGTCGCAAAGACTTGTCGTTACTATTTTTTTAAATTGATAACGATTAATTATCAAACCAATTTTTAACAAATTTTAATTTAATGACATCTAGTGAAGAGTAGTTGTACTACATCAACATAAGAGAATTTAAAAAATATTGCTCGGTAATTTTGTTTTCATGGTTATAGATTAATTTAAGTGGTAAAGGACAGCAGGCCCATTCACACTATTTTAAAATGAAAGTGTATTACCTATTTAAAATTATTATTTTCACGAAAAACAAAAATAGTTAAGCTCTTCTAACAATACAGTTAAACGTTTAGTGACATCTAGCGCGCAGTAGTAATGCATTATTGAATGAAATGTTAAGAAATTAGGTGGCTTACGGACAGCCGTGTACTTACAAAAGTTTTAATAAAATATTTTTTAACATAAGTTTGTTAAAGTAGTAATAAAACAGATAATTTCATGTTAATAAAAGAAAATTATGAATAGAGTCATCTTTTGTACCATCCATAAACATTTTGTAGAATTTTGCTATGTTCAATTGACTTTTAGTCTTTAGTCTATGGGTACCGAACGCTTATGACAGATCTCAAGTGAAAAATTAGGGAAATATGAAGTAAAATATTTTCATTAATTTTGTGTTTTAAATGACCGCAGGAAAAGAAACAATGGGGTGAGTTAATTTTTATGCTTTAAGTTATAAATGTCGAAGGTTTTTTGGAAATCCAAAGAGATTTCACGTCAAAATTCATTCCTGTTAACACATTACTATAGGGTGGGGATGCATTTACCACTTCGAAGGGATATTTTTGGACAAAAAATAAATGCTTTTAATTATTAACATAAAAGAAGTGTATACTAAAATGAATGAAGAAATAAAATATTTAAAAATAAAAACAAAAAAAATAACTGTATTATTTTGCGTTTTAAAGCGCCGTTAAGTATTTCCGCTTAAATGATTATTTGCACATCGATTGAATGATTTTGCCCGACCGCAGAGTCGTTGGCCCTTCGGCCTTCTATTTATAAAGCCTGCGTTTTCTAGTTCATTAAATTGTACCAATTCATGTGCGCCTGGTATCCTGGTTATAACACAGAGTGGAATAACATAAATATATGACGATTTCCTCATTAATAATAAAAAGTTAAGAAAAAATATAAAAAAAATTAAAATAATATTTATTAAAAAAATCTTTTTTTCAAAAATAAATATTCACTGTCATGAATTACAAATTAAATTTTCAACAAGGAGCTAAAACTATTCCAAAGGTACTGTGGGAACATAATGTGAAGTCTTAAAAATCAATCTATCATCTCAATTCTATCATTCAATACTTATCATGGAAATGTATACACAACATATTGTAGGTTTTTTAAATCCAGATTGAAAACTTTTATAATATCACGTTACTGACATAGTAGTGACCTTATCAATAGTGATATGGGATCCAAGTTCAATTCCAGCTAGTCAGTATCTTTAAGATACTGTGTCGGCATATTCGAAACCTAAATGAGTGTTTCTGGTACCTATAAAATAGGAAATCGACTCTTAAGGCTGTTGAATATAGTGCTTACTTTTGACTGAGCGTTTCTTTAAATTAATTCAAAAAATACCAGTTTAATTTTAATTTATTTATATTTTAAATTTCGATCGTAGCAGGTGTATTGGTTGAGGCATGAAAGGAAATATTTATTTATACAATAAATACAAGTATTAATGATAAATACAACACAAATAATAAAAGCAAACATAATAATAAATACAATTATGTACTGAATTACTACAATAATAATTATACTTTTCTTTATTTACTACTAATTCCATTTCTAAATTAAATATCAGCTTAGATTTCTGCTGGTCTATGGTTGAATATGTTAAGTTGTAGTTTTATTGCTTAGGTTCCTTGCTAGACAAAAATAAATGAAGTATGTTGATCACAATGTCAGTAATCTTTCATGTGAATAATGCAGTAACAAATTTGTTTTCACAAAACATTGAAGTCAATTGTAATTCCGAATTACATTCAATACAAGCTGTACAATAATGAGAACAGCTCACACCACAATATGTTACAAAATAATGAACATACTACATTGTAAGGATTGATAATATTTATGTATGTAGATAGACACGCTTCCTATAATTATTTCATAGGTTTTCATGGCACCAGCAATGCATCATATTTTTATATTCCTAGAACAAAGTCTGATCTGTCTTCATAAAAAATCTTTTTTGTTGATCTTTCCTGTGTAGTTCTTTTCGTGTGGTCTAATGTCTATTTCATTTTGTTAGTTAAAATGATTTTGGTCTAAAATGTCTACTTAGACATTTTGTACGACAGTGTCACTTTGGCACTTAATGTTTCTATTATTATCTATTCTTGTATTTTTGTCAGTCTGTACATAAATAAATACTATTTAAAATGTTATCTTTGAAAAGTTTTAACAGTGGATGTCTGGATTTATGTTTCTAATGACTAGAAATGGGCTTCTCAATTATGAATTATGGGGCTTTTAGTTTATGGTTCATTTTTTATTATTGTGTGCAGGCAGACAAGAGGCAGCGTACGCACTGTGATTGCTATAGGCTGTAGAGCAAGAAATAAAAATAAATTGCAACATAAATGCTAGCACTTGAGATTGTTCTTAGATATGCATTACACTTTATCTCAATTCAAATGCTTTAGTAGGATATATGTATGTCTGCTTGTACTTTAAGAACCGAAATTAGTCCAAATGTATACAATAATATGCATGTAATGTATGTATAATAATATGTACATACTAGCTGTACCCACCCACTTCGCTAGGCATTTAAAATTAACATTATTATTTCTCACCCGCACAAATATTCTCATCATTAACGCCCCCGCAACTTGTGTAGGGAGTCCAACACTCATATAAATATTAAGTACATTAAGTACATGTATTTTCTACATGGATACCAAGTTTCAAGTCAATCGGATGCATGGTTCAGTAGTTATAAAGGAACATCCGTAAAAACCACTGTAGATTTATATATTCGGATAGATGTATGTAATAATCTTCAAAAAAATTACTGTATCACTATGTTGTTGACTTGCTGATTATTTTAGCCCGAAATGACATCCGAATGTTTGTTTGAATTACTGTAGAATTGAGTGGGTAAGTCATGTTTTTGTACTTTTATTATTGTTTTTAAAACAATCATGGTCCTGATGTATGTTAAAATTGCCCTTGTCAAACTATGTGAGGTCGCGCAGTATGGCCTCTTTTCCGTTTGGGGTCATCATACGCCATCTCTGCAATGCCACTCCTCTCCATCCACACGAAATCCATCCATCCAAGTCTTTTTAGGACTGTTCGTAATGAAAGAAACGAAAAATCTTATTGTAAATCTGTTTATGCAATTTACAATAGTTAGAGTTTCAATGCTGCATCCGAATTACTTCTGATAGTTAAGTAAACGTAAAATTTTATTATCGAAATATTTCAAGTGGCCGTTCGTCGGATTACAAAAAGATATCGTGTCGTCACACAATATCATTGCGTATTCCATATATTCCATCGATCGCTTTGTTATCGTTCGTCAGATATAGCCAAATATTGTTTTGCTAGTTCAAATAGAAAAGCGAAAGTATGCAGTGATGAATGTTATTTTATTAAAAACTTTGAACACCGTCGCACTCTTTGTAGACGGAATCATCCTTTTTGGGGTGCCTGAGAGAAATTGAGGGTCAGAAACCCAACCACGGTTTCTCCACAACCTTGTCTGGCGCGGGCTACCTTTGTTGGTTTTGGTTTTTCCTACCCATTCTAGTAACTTCGAGGGGCTATTCTAAATTCGCCGAATTAGTAGGTGAGCTCACGGGGCTCAAACCTGATGACGCTGCTAACTCGAACCCTAGCAAGAGCCGTGCTTCGCAGAATGTACCACCGGATCGGAAACGCGTCCCGCTGAGAGGATCCGGCGAGAAACTCAGTAGGCTATCTTTGTTAAGGATACTTGGCACCTACAGTTTTATGTAGTTTATCATATCGCTCTTATGTGCTGCATTCCTAATAGCTTCGTTCGTAACTTCATTAAAGTTTTATGTTTCTGGCGTTGTGATAAAGAGCTTTCTGTTGTTGTTCTTGCATTTTTTATACTAATTAATCTGGGTCTAAAGAACATGAATCGTATAGGCTGCTATGAGAAGCCTGGGTTAAATTTATTTTAAAATTGGGTTAAAGTACTATTGCTATTCTTTTTTTGTCTGCCTGTTGTTAGTAACCTCGTGGGGTTATGTTAGCTTCCCCAAACGTGTAGGTGTCTTAGCAAGAGCAGTGCTTCACTACTACCACCGCTTCTACCACCGGATCGGAATCACGACCCACTGATCAGATCCGGTGAGACGGAATCGACGAGAACAGCGACCGGTGCTTAGAATTCCTGAAAGCATCGATACGGTATCGGGAACATCCAACGTTTTTAGTGAGAAGACGACTGTTTATCGTTTGACCCTTTTGTTACGGTAATACTCTGGAACTATTAAAAAATTGATACTCTGACTTTGTACTATACTATGCGTTTTGTGTGAGAAGTCATAGATTTGTAATGAAATACGTACTCAGCAAATGTTCACGATTGACTTCCACGGTGAAGGAATAACATCGTGTAATGAAAATCAAAACCCGCAAAATTATAATTTGCGTAATTACTGGTGGTAGGACGTCTTGTGAGTCCGCGCGGGTTGATATCACCACCCTGCCTATGTGAAGCAGTAATGCGTTTCCGTTTGAAGGGCGGGGCAGCCGTTGTAACTATACTGAGACCTTAGAACTTATCTCAAGGTGGGTGGCGCATTTACGTCGTAGATGTCTATGGGCTTCAGTAACCACTTAACACCAGGTGGGCTGTAAGCTCGTCCACCCACCTAAGCAATAAAAAAAAAAGGTGTGGCACTCGGGAACTGCCGCGGTAAAGCTATTGTATAGCATTTTTTATCAACTTATGCAATTATAATTAGACAATGATAATTTAATATTCAAACAATAATAAAACAAGACCACGCTATATTAAACATTAATAAAAGCAAAAAAATAACTGTCCCCTTCACACTCATAAGCTAGACCGCGCGAGAGAGAGATGGGCAGACTTTTCATGATGCGCATGCAGTGTGACGTCACACCAGGCGCTTATTAAGCGCAACGTGTGAATGTGTTGAACGCGAGCTACATAGTAGGCGTAGTGGGGGTGTCAGGTTATTTTCGTTACAGAATTACTTGATTCAGTCGCCGCGCTCAGAGCCCGCGATAAAATCTATGCAATAGCATAAAATCTACTCTGGACAAGGCGGCTCAGTTTTTTTTTTTTAATTCTTGTCTAACGTAAAGTATGTTCAGGAACGCTCCTGTTTGGCGATGTCCTGTCAGTGATGTTGACATTGTTAATGGAACATGCGTCGGCTGTGTGTAATCGCACGCTTGTCCGTCAACGTAAATAATAAGAACAAATATAACAAGTTGTATCGGAACCCGTCGGGTGTGTTTGTTCACTCTACACCTGTCCGTACTCCGTACACGCAGAGCGCTAAATTTAGTTTTGTTTAACCACAGACTGGCTGTCTGTCGATATAATAATGAATGTAGTTTGCCACGTTTCGCCGTGCTATTTATTGAGATTAGAGTTCAATAACTTCAGGCCTTTTGTGTGACGGAAAATTTTATTTTTTATATTTAACTACTTTACTGGCGGTAGGACGTCTTGTGAGTCCGCACGAGTGGGTAACACCACCCTGCCTATTTCTGTCGTGAAGCAGTAATGCGTTTCGGTTTGAAGGGTGGGGCAGCCGTTGTAACTATACTGAGACCTTAGAACTTATATCTCAAGGTGGGTGGCGGCATTTACGTTGTAGATGTCTATGGGCTCCGGTAACCGTTTAACACCAGGTGGGCCGTGAGTTGAAATTTGTGGATACAACAGATTTTTCAAATACACAGTCCACTGAGTTTCTCGCCGGATCTTCTCAGTGGGTCGCGTTTCCGATCCTGTGGTAGATTCTGCCAAGCATTGCTCTTGCTAAGGCCTGTGTTAGCAACATTTCCGGTTTGAGCCCCGAGAGCTCACCTACACGCTAGGGTAACGCTGATATAGCCTCTCAATGCTATCGGCATAGGTAGGAAGCAAAAAGAAAGTTATGAGACAGATTCTCATTTATATATACTATAGATTATTACACGTATGTTAGGAATTAGACATGCACACAACCACAATGTATATCATGTAACAAAAATATCACTAACTAGCGACCCGCCCTCGTTTCGCTTCGGAAACATTATAACACACATGAAACAAAAAAAAAATTAAAAAAAAAATTAAAAAAAGTAGCCTATGTTCATCAGGGACAATGTCGGCTTCTAATGGAAAAAGAATTTTTCAAATCGGTCCAGTAGTTTCGGAGCCTATTCGAAACAAACAAACAAACAAATCTTTCCTCTTTATAATATTAGTATAGATTAGTATAGATGTATCAAAGCGGGTGGCTTACCATACGTCTAGTTAACTAACACTTATTACTACACCTTGCAATTGACAAGAAGCGAGAGTTTAGTTGTAGACCTTATTTATATTTACGAAATATATCAACTGCGGAAATTGAATCGGCGACGAATACGTTGCTAAAACAGATTCTCCGGTGGCCGGGAGCTAGGGGGTTTCCGGCGACCTTCAGCGGGCTACTGATAAACATCGTGGGAGTCACACCCACGCGGTCTCTTCCCTTCGTGGTCTAGATTTAGCCAATTATAATACACAACAATACAATACAAAGTGAAATTTAAATAGTTTTCTCGAATATCCGCCTATTTATTTATATATTAATACGTGAAGCAAAACCCTCTTTTAACGAAAATTGCGCCGCTGGAGGAGTATGAAATTTCCCACACTTATAGAGAATACTAGCCGTACTCGCCCGCTTCACTGCGCATTTAAAATTAACATTATTATTTATTGTCCTTTATGTTATAATTAGGGAGTCCAACACTCATATAAATATTAGCCTATCCATTAAGTACATGTATTTTCTACACGGACACAAAGTTTCAAGTCAATCGGATGCATGGTTCAGTAGTTATAACGCAACATCCGTAAAAACCACTAGATTTATAGATAAGTATAGATTATAGATACTTGGTCGGTAGGCAGCGGCTTGGTCGGTAGGCAGCGGCTTGGCTCTGCCCCTGGCATTGCTGAAGTCCATGGGCGACGGTAACCACTCACCATCAGGTGGGCCGTATGCTCGTCTGCCTACAAAGGCAATAAAAAAAAAGATAGATAGAGAAGAGAAGAGTGCAGAAAGCTAATTAAAAAAAAAAAGTTATTCATATATAAATCAATAAATTAATAAAAAAACATTACACACATTACCATGTATTTGACACATACCCGCATATATACTCCTTTATTTATCGTTAAAGACTGGTAAAATTAAGAATAGATTATATTATTAAAATTCGTCTTTAATATTATTTGTCTAGGTATAGTGTAGCCTTGGCGAAATCTGTGATTAAATAAGTATAAGTCTTGGCTAACAGAACCATAATAATTGTCAATTAATTATAGTCGAATTTCGACCCAGGGGACCACTAGTAATATATTAATTAGTAGTCCTTCCTGGTAATACGTCACGCCTTATTACTGCCTTTTCCATCCAATTGATGGAATCCTTTCCACGTGTATCCTGATGTCAACAAATGAACGTGCAGAAAGACTAAACTGCTTTTGCTGATGCTTGGGTATATGCTCAATATATTCACAAATGGCCATTGGATTTGCGAGACTTGTAACAGGCCTTTTGCTACTAGGGTTTGGTGATTTTTTGATATATATATAGGTATATATTCATAGCAAATAGATTGGTAACCGCCATGTTACTTTAATATTATTTTAACGGATGACCGTTGGGGCCAGAAAGTTCTTGAGTGGCGACCACATACCGGAAGACATGGCGTGGGTACGCCTCCCACAAGATGGACCGACCATCTATTGAGGTTCGCGGGGATCCGCTGGATGCGGGCAGCGCAGGACTGGTCTTTGTGGCGAGGTTTGGGAGAGGCCTATGTCCAGCAGTGGACGTCTGTGAGCTGATAAGAAGATGTTACTTGATAATAATAAAAGGCTCTCTAAAGAGATGATGGTTCTGTCATTCAAAACATTACACGTAGTTTAATTGGTGCTACTTAGAAATGGTATAGTGTGTTGTGAGTCATCGCGGGTAGGTGAAAATTTGTTGTCTTTCTGTTAGGGGGTAACCGACGGCTTAAGGCATTTGAGACGTATCTTAACTCATTGTACGTCGGCTCCGCGAAAACGCGGGATTTTTTTGCTTAGTAATCTGCGTTCTGTTGCCATGATTACTTCCATTTTTATACGCTTTTATGAGCTTCAGACGTATGTATGTAACGGAATATTTGAACATGATTTAGACCCCCTTCAAAACGTTGAATTGACTCGAAATTTGGTATACTTATTAAGGACCGACGACAATTCAATACATAACAAAATATTGAAAAAAAAAAACATTGAAAAAGTTGAAATTCAACTAAAAAATGAAAAGTAAATACTTAATAGTTTAAAAAAACTAACAAATTTATAGAAAATCCAACTAAAAAAACCGTACGCCTTTTTACAATAAAATCATTTTTTCTTACACTATTTTTAATTCAAATTTATTAAAATTTATTTTTTATTTTTTAGTTGGATTTTCCATAAATTTCTTAGTTTTTTTAAACTATTATTTTAAACTTATTTATTGCTTTACGAAAATGTAAAAAAATTTAAATACATATATTCTTCACGTACTCATTGATTGTAAATACGCGAATCATGACGGCGCCCAGGTTTTAAGCTGTCGATACGGTGCCGACGTTCAGTATGTAAATGTCTCAGATGCCAAATGTTATCCGCTTTTTGGGTGCAACTGAGGATCAGTAAACGGAAGTAAAGGCAACAGTTTATGTCTTGTTTCAGTGAGCAGCCGATATTCACTTGCAAAGCCCACGTGTTCCACATAGATCCCAAGACGAAACGGTCATGGATGTCGGCCAGTTCTGCAGCGGTTTCCGTATCGTTCTTCTACGATTCGTCGAGGAACCTCTACCGCATCATCAGCGTTGAAGGAACCAAGGTATTTATTTATTTATTTGGGAAACAAACAGTACAATACAAACATATAATATTTAAAAAAATAGCTAAAACAATAACCAAATATGTTTCCACAATTAAAATCACATATAGGTAGAAAGTGAACAGAGAAGAGGAATTTAGAAATTTAAGTTACAAAAAAAACAAAAGCAGCACAATACGCTCATATTATTTTGTACATCAACTTACAATATAAAACTATAATACTCATCGGACTAAATCACCTTATAAATATTTTAAAATAGCTTTTCTATGTTTTATTACTGACATAGGAGGGGGAGTTTCGTGATTGTTATAGTGGTGGCGTTTGCTAAATACACCCGGAAATACCGCCCTTGTATCAAGCACAACCAGCCCCTCTGCTGAAGATTTTTCTTTTCCTCCCTTGTAGAATATGGGGCTATTCCAGTTACGCCCGAATGGGTAGATGAGCTCACCGGCTCAACCTGAGAGAATTTGCTAACACTAGCCCTAGCAAGAGCAGTGCTTCGCAGAGTCTACCGCCGGATCGGAATCGCGACCCACGGAAAAGATCCGGCGAGAAACTCAGTGGGCTTAGATGTACCCTCTCCAATTACAAACACAAACCCTTAGCCAAACTTTGACAAGCCGTTTCGGGTTTCAATATAACCGAGTGACTTCCACGGTGAAGGACTAGCATCGTGTAATAGAAATCAAACCCGCAAAAATTATAATTTGCGTAATTAATTGTGTTAGGACCTCTTGTGAGTCCGCACGGGTAGGTACCAACGCCCTGCCTATTTCTGCCGTGAAGCGTTTCGGTTTGAAGGGCGGGGCAGCCGTTGTAACTATACTGAGACCAATTTTGAAGTGAAAACTTCTTTAGAATCGTTGTGATTTCAAACCGGATGCAACGGAAAAAACGACAGGTAAGAGACACAAATACAAAAATGTGTAGGATGAAGCCAGCAAAGAATGAGACAGAAATATACATACTATTTAATACAGCGCCATCTGTGAGATTTTTTAATACTAACGTGTGTATGAAAGCTCTTGTAGTGAATTTTAATTTAGGATTATACGTGAAATTAAAATATCAATTCACAGAGGGCGCTACCTTACAATTATTTACTAATAACAAAATTTTACATATACTTAAGACGTTTAGGATAATTGTATTTTAATTTTGGAAGGTTTCACTTCTACCATGTGTGAATTGCACACATTTTGTATTTGTTTTTTTTGCCAGCCACCGTGAGATATCTCAACCACCCACACCAGGTGGGCTCTAAGCTCGTCCACCCATCTAAGCAATAAAAATAAAATAACTGAAGTCCACAGTCGGTGGTGATAGGTCTTTATTGTCCGACAGGCGGTGATCAACAGCACGATAACGGCCAACATGACCTTTACGAAGACATCCCAGAAGTTCGGGCAGTGGAGTGACGTCAGAGCGAACACTGTCTACGGCCTCGGCTTCGCTTCTGAAGCCGAACTCGGAAAGGTGAGAAGGAACTGTGATATCTATTTTCAGAGGACCTCCTCCAGGTCTAATTGATGCTATCAGATCGGTTATAGGCTTACGACTTGGCTCTGCCCCTGGCATTGCTTCTACCCATGGACGACGGTAACCACTCACCATCAGGTGGGCCGTACGCTCGTTTGACTACCAGAGCAATAAAAACAAAGATTTCACGAAAAACCCAATAGAAAAAACCATAGACGCAATTGTTTGAATTCCGTAATCCACCTAGTGATATAATAAAGTAATAGTCTCAAGGCGGGTGGCGTATTTACGTTGTAGATGTCTATGGGCTCCGGTAACCACTTAACACCAGGTGGGCTGTGAGCTCGGCCACCCATTTGCAATAAAAAAGTCTTGATTAATATCTTATCTGAAACGCATGTTTAGTCCGATTATGATGATGGCATTGAGATGTGTACTAAACTGTATCAAATGATAGTACAGTCGTTTATGGAGAAGTGGGCTATGAGCAGAGCCAAGTCGTTGCCCATCGAAAATGACTTAATTCTCCGTCGATTATTTCTTTAATTTATTTAATTAGCGTTAGAAATGATGTTCAGCTTGGTTGCTCATCAGAGAATTTTGATGACCATGCATAACTAAGTAGCATTAATTAAACAGCAGTTTCATTGTTCCTTGATATAGTTCATGGCAGGTATTTTAGGCTGGTATGGTACTGTAGGGGAATGATACCCCGCCCCGCTTAGCTGCTTACTATGCAGTTATAGTAGTGAGCAGCATGCGTTAGTTAGTGAGCGGTTAACATGCAGCGATTCACCGCGCTCGCTGACGCGAATAAGCATACAATTATACTCAGTGTTTTATTGACCACTCTGATGAGGTTTCCGGAGGGGAGCGCACAATAAACCCTCCACATCATAAAACCTCACAGTACCAGTGTTTTACAAATAGCTATCTCGAAGCGTTCGTCCTATCTAGAAGTACCGTCCCAAGTGGGTCCCTGTCTAGTATAGAAAATATTGTAATTCCAGTTTATCGAGAAGTTTCAAGAGGTGAAGGAAGCGATCCAGGCCCAGCAGTGCGGCGTCGCGGGTAAAGGCGTGAACGGCAACAGCGGGGCCGCCACGCCCGTCGCCAGCGCCACCGCCAGCCCGCTGCTGGCCGCCCGCCCCGCGCCCGACGACCAGCCTCCGGCCGTGGTGAGTCAGCGCATTGCCCCCAGCACGGGGAACCGGCCGTGGTGAGAACGCGCGCCGCCCCCTGCGTGGGGGACCGGCTGTGATGAGTCCCTGCACAGGGGGACCGGCCGTGGTGAGTCCCTGCAAGGGGGACCGACCGCACCGCATGTTACAAGGTGAACGGGAGCATACACGTTGATGTCGCTTAAGACCAGTGTCTTTACTTTCTCGATACCGTAAAAGCTAACTCTTATTTGTATATAGTGGGAACAGCGCCCCTAGCGGCAAACTCTATACAAATTTGAGTTAACTTGGCACACAGGTAAGCCATGAGCTCGCTCACTGTTCTAAGCAATAAACGAACGAATCTATTAGTAAAATACCTACACAAATACTTAAAATATGTCCCACGGGTTGGGTTGAGGATAGACATTTGTACATCACAAGAGTGTAGTGGTAAGTGACATGGTCACTACACAAGGGGGTCGCGGGTTCGAATCCCGCCAAGGGAAGATATTTGTATGATAAATATAAATGTCTTTTCCAGGGTTATGGATGTATATTAAATATATGAATGTGTATAATAAAAATCTTACATTTATTTCCGTTATCTGGTACCTGTAACACAAGTTTTTTACGAACTTATCATGGGACCAGTTAACGTGGTGTGATTGTTAATAAATATTTATTTGTTATTATTATTATATTTCAGTAAATCGAATTGGGCTTTAATTGTTTATGGCTTTGGTCGTGAATTGAGTGAAGCCATTGCAGTATTTCATTCCCGATCCTGCGGACAGAATGGAAAGCAATCGACGTCGCCCAAAACACGTCATTTCGGATCCTCCCGATCCACTAACGGTGCTTCTAGGTACTTCAAGCACCGGTCACCGTTCTCGTCGAACCCGTCGCTTGCGACGAAGGGCTCGACGAGTAAATTAACCCTCAGACACAGCCCACTGAGTTTCTCGCCGGGTCTTTTGATTCGGTGGTAGATTCTTCTAAGCACTGCTCTTGCTAGGGTTCGTGTTAGCAACGTCGTCAGGTTTGAGCCCCGTGAGCTCACCTACTAGTTAAGGTTACGCTGAAATAGCCTCTCAAGGCTCTCAGCTTAGGTAGGACAAAAAAAAGGTTATTGTATTGGTATGAGCAGGCCACCTCGCTTTGACAGTGGCAAGTCAAAGACCATACACTGTCTGAGTCTGTCGACCAGTACTGCTCACAGTTGATCAGAGACCACAAAAAGACTAGGTTAGAAGAGAAGTAAAATATAATTTTATTAATTGTAGTATAATTTGTTGCAGCCCAACAAACCAGAGACGGATGAGATGGTCGTTCACCAGAGAGCTCACTCTGTGTCTTCTACCATACAGGTAAGCGAAGGGTGTTTATTGGGCTGAAAAAAAATCAAACCTGATAATAGATACCTAGTCGAATAAATAATTAAAAAATATTTTTTTTTAATCACTGAGGGTAATAAGTAATAGGATATGATTAATATAATATAATTGTATCGTCATTGGTGGGACTTAACAAGACGGATTTATAAAAGCATTTTTTTTAGCTAAAATGTTAATACCTTAAGTGATGACCGGAACCCATAGACATCAACCACCACGTCAATGCCACCGCCCCTCTCGAGATATGAGATGGGTGGCGTTTGAAGTCGTCGTGACCTAAAGGATAAGACGTCCGGTGCATTCGTGTTGAGCGATGCACCGGTGTTCGAATCCCGCAGGCGGGTACAAATTTTTCCAATGAGATACGTACTCATCAAATGTTCACGATTGACTTCCACGGTGTAGGAATAACATCGTGTAATTAAAATGAAACCCGCAAAATTATGATTTGCGTAATTACTGGTGGTAGGACGTCTTGTGAGTCCGCACGGGTAGGTATCACCGCCCCGCTTATTTCTGCCGTGAAGCAGTAATGCGTTTCGGTTTGAAGGGTGGGGCAGCCGTTGTAACTATGCTTGAGATCTTAGAACTTTTATCTCAAGGTGGGTGGCGCATTTACGTTATAGATGTCTATGGGCTCCAGTAACCAAGTAACACCGGTGGGCTGTGCTCGTCTACCCATCTAAGCAATAAAAAAAAAGATGGTCGTAATTTTAAATGTAAAACAGCAATCTACAGCAAAGTCGCACAAACCCCGAGCAGGAGGAGGTCGTGAAGGCGGGCATTCCGATTGCATTACATTGCGTGTTCTGTTTAAAATATTAGTTACAAAAAAAAAGATCGTCTCATATCGTCTTTTTGCATTAAAAGTGTACAATTTCCAAAAATATTCGAATTTGAGTTAATATGTGCTGTGAATGTACCACCTACAATATGCGGAATCATTAGGTATCACTAGTATTTTACTCATAAATACTGTCAAAAGAGCGTAGTTTAGTTTTAGTTTTTTTTTTGTTTAAGTACCTATGTTTTGACTACTATTAACAAAATTAATACATAATTTTATCTTACTTTAAATGACAGATAATGTAACTGGTAAAAAATAAAATAAAAATGTTGCAAAGATGATTGATATTACAAATATCACATGTTTTAAACCTTTAAAACACTCTCCTCTAAAATTTGCAAGTTTTTTTTTTTAATTTTTTTTTCTTTGTTGGTTGGACGAGCTCACAGCCCAGCTGGTATTAAGTGGTTACTGGAGCCCATAGACATCTACAACGTAAATGCGCCACCCGCCTTGAGATATAAGCTGTAAGGTCTCAGTATAGTTACAACGGCTGCCCCACCCTTCAAGCCGAAACGCATTACTGCTTCACCGCAGAAATAGGCAGGGCGGTGGCACCTACCCGCGCGGACTCATAACAGGTCCTACCACCAGTAATTGTACAGTTTTAATGCGAGAAGACGATATGTAAACATTTTCGTTTTTAAATAGACGACTGCGGTATACTCTCCTTATGCAGGTAGTTGGATGATAACGATTTCGTAAACGTATGTGACGTATGTGTCGGTGTTCGCTCTTCTCAGGGCGGCTACGCGACGGTGGGTCGCGCGCCCCGCGGCCCCCTGCCCCCCGCCGCGCCCCCCGCGCCCGAGCCCCCCGCGCCCGAGACCGCGGAGCAGCAGCTGCGCTACGAGAACGATCGACTCAAGCTCGCGCTGGCGCAGAGGTAACCCTATACTAGTCACCTCGAGGGGTCGCTTACGACGAAGAGCTCGACGGGTAAATGTAACCCACAGACAGCCCGCTGAGCTTCTCGGCGGATCTTCTCAGTGGGTGGTAGATCCGGTGGTAGATTCTGCGAAGCACTGCTCTTGGTAGGGCCAGTGTTAGCAACATCGTCAGGTTTGAGCCCCGTGAGCTCACCTACTAGTTTAGGTTACGTTGAAATAGCCTCTCAAGGCTATCAGCTTAGGTAGGAAAAAAAAAGCGAGCGAGTCGCCGTATCAGACAGAACGCTCCTGCGTAATATACGCTCTGAGTTAACATTACTGGTTTTATTGACTTACGAAGACCACCCGCTTATCATGTCGCTACCCGAAAGTGGAAATACTCCCCACAAGCAACCAGCACCTATTCGCCCTGTGACGGTGATATGGTCTCTCTATACCATCAGCTTGTAGGAAAAAAAAAGATGGGTTCTTCATCGAACTACTGAACCACGGGTCCGCTGAAAGGAAGCGAATTATGTTTTTTTTTAATTCTTTAGATGGGTGGACGAGTTCACAGCCTACCTGATGTTAAGTGATTACCGGTGCCCATAGACACCTATAACATAAATACCGCCCACCACCTTGACATATGAGTTCTAAGGTCTCAGTAAATCACATCGGCTGCCCCACCCTTCAAACCGAAACGCATTACTGCTTCACGGCAGGAATAGGCAGGGTGGTGGTACCTACCCGTGCGGACTCACAAGAGGTCCTACCAGCAGTAAACCTTACTCGGGCAGATTCAATGCTACATGCGAACTTGGAGCTGGTATCTTGTAATGACTGAAGTCATCGTGGCCTAAATGATAAAACGCCCGGTATACTCGCGTTGAACGATGCGGCTGTGCCGGTATTCAAATCTCACAGACAAGAGCTAATTTGTCCAGACGACAAAGGCATAAGATCTTTATGCATAAAAAAATTGTGTCACGTTGTTTGTCCGCGATGAACTTTTCAACTAATGAATATAATTGAATTAAACTTCGCAGACTATGTGTAGTTTGGTCCAACTTGAGATATAGGATAGTTCTTATGTACATTTATAATCATATTATTTTTATATGGCAGTTATTTAAAGGAAGGAATTTTGCGGTAATTGTTTTACTTTGTTAATTAAGGTTTTTCTTAGGTGTAATCAACAAACCATCGTTATGGTTTGTTGATGGCTTAGGGTCTGTGAAAGTGCACAAATGTGCGACACTGAAACAAAATCGCTGGAAGTAACTTCTTGGCTTTTTCAAAAAAAGTCCACTGAAAAGTCTCAGTAACCAACATTTTACTGAGACTAAATTCCTTTCCATCTCATATCGATTTATTTGATTTTATCCCAATTGATAAAATTCTCAAATTAATTAACTTTATATCATTTTTCATATCAAAACGGAATTTAAGAAGAAAATTTAAGTTTTGGCTTAAAGGTCTCGTTACCAGGCCATAAAATCTTAAAAGTAATTATTTTTTTATTACAGAGGGCTGGCTATCTGTGAGCTCTGTAATATTCTAACAGATGGCAGTGTTAGCTAATTTAAAGAATTAATGCTTTTGTATTCGGCTTCGGTCAGTATTTAACAGATGGCGCTATATTCAAAGTCTAAACTTTGTTTTAAATTATCTGTATATACTCGAATAGTGATCGATTTTTATCTCCTGTGCAATCCTGAGCCACGGATCCGATTGTGATACAACACGGTGCAATTGTAGTAGGAGGGGCTTTAGGCCTTTGCCATCGATCTTTTTCTTACAACCAGCCATTGTCTTAGCGAATCGACACCGGCTTCTCCAATCACGTTATGAAAATCAATTCTAATTATACGTCTTGTGAGTCCGCCAGATTTTGTTCTGTTGGCTGAGGCTTTGGTTGACAGGGGGTGTCCTGGTGAAACGGGAAAGGCCTCCGGGCCACCAGTAATGCTTCCTTCACAGTTAGTTCTATTTCGGTAGGCAGCGGCTTGGCTCTGCCCCTGGTATTTCTGGAGTCTATTGGCGACGGTAACCACTACCATCAGGTGGGCCGTACGCTCGTCTGCCTATTAGGGCAATAAAGCTAAAAAACAAAAAGTTTACCCTATTGTTGTGACCACCGGTGATCACACAATGCCAGGGCTCACTTCGTATTAACTTCATTTGGAGCGTTAAATCTGATCCAAGAACATCCAAGAAGTCGCCGTTGCCTAGTGAAGTCTTCGTGGCCTAAAGGATAAGTCGTTGGTGCATTCGTGTTGAGCGATGCGCCGGTGTTCGAATCTTAGGCGGGTACCAATTTTTCTAATGAAATACGTACTCAACAAATGTTCACGATTGATTTCCACGGTGAAGGAATAACATCGTGTAATAAAAATCAAAATTATAATTTGCGTAATTACTGGTGGTAGGACCTCTTGTAAGTCCGCGCGGGTAGGTACCACCACCCTGCCTATTTCTGCCGCGAAGCAGTAATGTGTTTCGCTTTGAAGAGTAGGGCAGCCGTTTTAACTATACTTGAGACCTTAGAACTTATATCTCAAGGTGGGTGGCGCATTAACGTTGTAGATGTCTATGGGCTCCAGTTAACCACTTAACACCAGGTGGGCTGTGAGCTCGTCCACCCATCTAAGTAATAATAAAAAAAACCCAAAAAAAAATCCGAGACCGTGAGTGTAATGATCAGGAAACACTGGCGAATTTTAAATCTCTAGAACATAGTCCAAATAAAACTATAAAATTCATAACGATTCTTTAATTTTAATTTCAAAGCATTTGTTTTCTTTGTACAGAACTTAAAAGTAACAACAAATAAATGAGTCGTCTATTATCAAAGGTGGCAATCTGTGCATTTGGACAAAAAAATGTTATTGATATGTCAATACAGATTGATTTGAATATAATCGTCTCCTTCAAAGAATACGGTTCAAAACCTGCATTAAATAAAGGTTAATACTTAACCTGTTATTTATCTAAGATGTCGTTCAGAAGAGTTTTGTGACTGCCAATGGAATACAAAGTCAATAATTCGTTTTTCTGATTTACCAATAATTGTCCAAAAGTCACATTGCCGGCTTTGATAATAGTCGACTCAAATGTAACTACGCAGTCTCATAGTCTTATCAACGTTAAGACTTCAGAAATACACACAATAACATTGCCTATATCAGTACTTAGTGGACTTGTAGTCTGGCAATAACTTATGGTCTTGTTCAGAACGGAAGACTTATCGAAGCCCATAGAACGTTTATAATGAGCTTATATTAACTATACTACAGCGTTTTTTGCTTTTTCGAATGATTACGAATAATATTTCGAGACGGTCTTCTTGGAACAGCCTTATAAGCCTCTGTTAACTCATCATGAATAAGACCATTAGTGCAGTTATAACAATTTAGTGGGAACTTGTAATTTTAGTTTTTATTCACTCATTATATACTGTCTGTTGTATGTGCCAAATATAGTATTTAAGTCCCTCAGGCTTAAAGTAATCTAAAAATCAATCAATTATATAAAGCATTATTTTAAATTTGGTCCTTTTAAACTACTATTATTAGCTTACATTGTTTACATTTTAAAATATACGGATAGGAGTGATCAAAAAAATAATTTGTTGTACATTACATTAGCGAAATCATCGCAAGGACATTCAAGAATAAATAGGAAAACGTAAAAACAACTTAACTAAATAACAATTATAATACCAATCGTATTTTCTTATACAACTATAATAACATCTAGACTTTGTCAGGGAGCAGTTAGTTATCTTTGTTGCATCGACGATTTGACTGTCGGTTGTAATTATATAGTTGCATTGAAATGTTAAATTTCGATACCTTTGTGGCGGTAATTGAGTGTTATCCAATCACCGTCCTCGTCGAACCCGTCGCTTACGACGAAGGGCTCGACGAGCGAACTAACCCATAGACACAGCCCACTGAGTTTCTCGCCGGATCTTCTCAGTGGGTCGCGTTTCCGATCCGGTGGTAGATTCTGCGAAGCACTGCTCTTGCTAGGGTCAGTGTTAGCATCACTGCGGCTTGAGCCCCGTGAGCTCACCTACTAGTTAAGGTTACGCTGAAATAGCCTCTCAAGGCTATCGGCTTAGGTAGGAGATGAGTGTTATTTAATCTTGCCGTTCCGAAAAGGAAACCAAAGTTAGCAATAGCCGATTGGCCCTTTTAAAGGGTTTAGATACCAACCGCTCAAAACCTGGGCGCCGACATTATTCTCTTGCTTACTATCAATGAGTACGCTAAGAAAATATTTAATTTTTTTGTAAAAAATAATAAAAACGAAAATCGGCGTAATAACGGTAACAGAAGGCAAATTACCATGAAAAATAATCCCGTATAAAGCTGCTTTCAGACTATGCTATAATATAGCACATAGCACATAGCTCATAGCACAATATCGCGCACCATACTTTGTTATGGACACGTTCACACTGTACTGTACTATATATTATTGGCTAAGTATACGCTGCTATACTATACGGTACGATAGTATAGCGTAGTCTGAAAGCAGCTTTATCGCAGGGCTGGCGTACAATGCGTTAAAACGTTCTATGCCCTAAACGCATTAAAATTCTTCAACTACCCACATAATTTAAAATAGATATCTGAATGCCCTAATGGAAGCTTTTAGATGCATTAAGGTATTTTGAATTCCGATATTGGATCTAACGAGTCACAACCGATTTTTGTATTAATCATGATAACCGACAGTAAAATCAGTCGACGTTGTACCTACTTATTGCCTTAGTGTTCGAAACTGGCCGATATCGGAGCGTAACCCTCGTCGAAATGTCCGTAGTCGTGCTGGTATTGGACCGGCTCGTGGGCTGGCTTGGCGTGGTACTCCTCGTGCTTGGGGGTGCCTATCTTGTGCACGACGGCGTTGAAGCCGTTCTTATCGTCGGCTTCATATTCGACGACGCGTTTTGTGCCATCTGTCTCGACCAGGGTGTAGGTTCCTAGAGACATTCGCCAAGAAAGCGTCACGTTTTTTAATTGCTTAGATGGGTGGACGGGCTCACAGGCCACCTGGTGTTAAGTGGTTACTGGAGCCCATAGACATCTACCACGTACCACCAATCTTGAGATATAAGTTGTAAAGTCTCAGTATAGTTGCAACGGCTGCCCCACCCAAGAGGTCCTGTCACCAGTAAAACCGTAACCGATAGATCATCTGCGATTTGAATTCGGTTATTCAAGTTCAAAATGGGAATACAGTGAAGGCTCCTTCATTCGCGTTTTTACTATTTGCGGATTATAAAAAAAAAAAAAAACCGAATTCCTATCTATCTTCATGGCTAAAGATTTATTTATTCGCGGATCTAATTGGTATATACACATTGATAAAAAGGATTCCAATATGTCGGTATCCAACCGAATATCCTTTATAGAAGCGTCGTCAAAAGGACTAATAAAAAAAACTAAAACGGTCTTATACAGTGTGTCCCAAAAAATAGTGTCAATCCGAAGTCCAGAAGTAAAGCATCACTAGGGTTATCCGTATTACCCCCATATAGGTATGATCCGCGATTTTTGATAGTTTACGAGCTATACTAATTTTTTTTCTCTGATGTGGCACTTTTTGGTCACTGTGACGCGAATAGTTAAGGTACATGCTTCGTTTTATTTTTATTTTTAGATAAACACTAGGCCTAACTGATTCAGAACTATTTACATCGATAATACTAGTGTAACTCATTAAAAAGATTTATTGAAACTTAAAAAGTCATAAACGCCCTATTTTTTCTAAACTTTGAAGCCCATGTTTTTATTTTGTCATTCTAAGAACGTATCCCCTATAATCCCATATATATCAATTACCATTCCACATTCACAGTTTCTGTATTGGTGGCATATTTATGGACCATATGCCCCGCGAATATAGAGCTTTTACCGTACGCAAGTATAAAATTGATGCAACTACATAATGTCTTTTGTTTACTAAGATAGAGATGCTTTACCTTTAACCTTGTCACCGTCTCTAGTCTCCCAGTGTTCTTTCTCGTCGCCAGTGTGAGGATCTTTTACGGAATAGTCGAAAGAATATTTCGGATGTGCCTAGAACATATATAGTACATATTTATCAATTACTAAGATTATCGATGATTATTTTTGACTGGTAGTTGAGCGTTTTGTGAGCCCGCACGGGTAGGTACCACCACCCTGTCGATTTCCACCACGAAGCAGCAAGCCAGCCAGTAAAAACTGATAGTTATAACTCATGTTTGAAGGTGAGTGGCTGCATTTATGTTGTTAATGACTGTGGACTTTGGTGACTGCTTGACACCAGCATGGCCTTGAGCTCGCCCACTCATAAAAATAAATAAATAAATGACTATAGATATGAAATTCTGAAAAAAAAACCGCAAATTTTCTTTCAATGCTTGTAGTGGAATCGTTCTCTTAATTAAATATTGTTTGTAGGGTAGGTAGTTTTTTTTTTATTGGTAATGTTGCGTGTGTGTAAAACGATACATGACCCTCGTGTAAAGTGGTCGTGGGAGAAATAGATATCACAATTTGATTATCTTAAGTCTTTATTGTATTTTTTAACGAACATACCTTAAACAGGACCGTCGTACCCATGACGGGTTCCTATTATACTTCATAAACACCAATATCAAAACTGTCGATCGATTCCTTTTATGAATATTAAAGGAATTGCAATTGTAGTCTGATTTTATTATCGTTTTTTGTACGGCACGCAATGAATGTAAGAGATGCGCAAGGTCATCGACCCCTGTAATGCGTTTTTTTTCCGTGACCACTGCTTCTTTCTTTAAATTGTAACTTTACTAACAAATTCGCAAAAAATCAAGTTTATGTTTAGAAAATGAATAGTGCTTACTCGTTTTGCTTAATATATTATGAATTGGGCTTGTAGAACGGGACAATGACAAATATTAATTGAAAAAAAAAATACCCTTCAAAGTGCTGGTAATACTAACATGGTAATCCAGTTCATATTCTTGGCCGTGGTGTTCGTCGGATGCTTGGTGCTGTTGATGAGAAATAGGCTTGTGATGGTAGCCCTCGAAGCCTCCGAAGTCTTCGTATTGGGCCAAGGCCGATCCCACTACCAGCAATAGAGCGAAGGTTTTCTGAAATCCAAAAAAATGTATGATAAATATTTCTCAAATAGTCCCGTTTGTTTTGAGGTAGATTCAGAACTATGGCTTAGGATAAAGCGACGTTCGAGCCGAAACTATGTATGTATGTATCATAATTCATTCATTAGTGCGACGGGCCTAATACGCAATGGACATCAAAATCTGAGATGTTTAAAGACTCTTATCTCTAACACTGTTAAGAAGGGAATGCTAGTTGTGGACGAAGAGTAGTGGATAGGGAAATGAAAGAAGATTGTCAAGCGTCAAAGTGTTGGGTAAAAAGCCGTGAAAGTTATACGTGAAGATACTTAATATAGGTATAGAAGATAAATGAGGTCTTAGTTTTGAGATTGTATAGAAAGTTTTATAGTCTCAAAATTCAGACATAGTTTGTCTTTGTTAAAAAATGTTGAACACTGATAGGTCCTAATATGTATCGAAATATAATTTTAATATTTATCTTTATTAGAATTTTTTATTAGAAAAAAACAAAAAAAAAGCCCGCTGAGTTTGTTTCGCCGGTTCTTCTCAGGACTGTGGCTTTTTTTGGAACCGGTGGTAGAGTTAACATGGTTATTTATATTTTGACATTCAACAAGTGTGTTATACCTACTGACATCTAAGTTGAAATAAATGATTTTGAATTCAATATCTCTTAATTCATTTATCGATCGTCCGAAAAAGGTCACTAAATGATGGTATTTCTAATGTCAAATTTGTTAGCTAATAAAACTATTTCCGTTGCATCTCATACAATTTTTATCGAAATACTCACGCTCTATGAAATTGACAATTATCTCAGCGCAAACACAGAACGATTTAGGGAGGAATCGTAACAAAAGTTACTTGTTTCCACCCTTTGTTTCCATTAAACATAGCCCCTATGCTCTGAAACCCGTTGCGAACTCAAATACCGCGACCGCTTAGAAACTCTCTGTCTATTTAATTACTTGATTTTGCTCGCGAGAGCGTAATCTCATATATCGATTTCTGTGGGACCACTCTGGGCATTACATCTACATATTCGATTCACCCTTACACAGTGGAGACATTCGTTTGTTAATTGTTATTTTTTATTGCTTAAATAGGTGGACGAGCTCACAGCCCACCTGGTGTTAAGTGGTTACTGGAGCCTATAGACATCTACGACGTAAATGCGCCACCCACCTTGAGATATAAGTTGTATGGTCTCAAGTATAGTTACAACGGCTGCCCCGCCCTTCAAACCGAAACGCATTACTGCTTCACGGCAGAAATAGGCAGGGCGGTGGTACCTACCCGTGCGGACTCACAAGAGGTCCTACCACCGGTAAAAATGTTAAATGAAATAATTATTTACTAAGGCTCTTGTCTGTTCACAAAATCTTACATACAAATAATAGCTGATATATACTCTACGGCCCACCTAGTGTTTTAAGTTTTGACGGTCACTAGCTAAAAATAAATGTTAGGTGGGCCGATAGATGTGTCCGGGAGTGTACAATGTTCCTAAATAGTTGAAATTCGTTACCGCTTTTGATTAGCAACGAGCTTGCGGTCCATCGGATGTTTAGTCGTGGCCGGAACCCACAGATATTACATGAACGCCACCACACACATTGAGAGATGTGGTGAAAGTATTTATTGTATTCGTAAAACGAATGTTACGCCTTTTAAAAAGATAAAAAAATAATAATCTTACCGTTAATTCAATTGAACAAGTAACGGTGATAAATCGCACCTCTAGAATTAAAGGGGCTTAACTAAAAAAAATTAAGTAAATGAATTTTATACTTTGTTTTATAGTATTTTTTTTATTTTTTTTTATTGCCCTTGTAGGCAGACGAGCATACGATGGTGAGTGGCTACCGTCGCCCATGGACTTCAGCAATGCCAGGGGCAGAGCCAAGCCGCTATCTACCAAAGCCAAGCCGCTGCCTACCAGAGGTATATCAGAAGAAGTGTGAAAGAAGCCCCGCTAAGCAACAAATAAAAGAGCGGACGGTTAGCGTGGTATGGACATGTGATGCGTAGAGAGAAGATGCATGTGACTAGGAGATGTATGGAAATGGTAGTGCATGGTAGAGGGGGAAGAGGTCGACCGAAGGAGACATGGATGGAGTGTGTGAATGGAGATATGAGAGAGAGAGGAGTGAGTGTTGAGATGACGGCTGATAGAAGAGAATGGAAGAGAAAAAATAGCTGTGCCGACCCCCACCTACTGGGATAAGGTGGAGAAAAAGAAAGAAGAACGACCTAGGAACATGTATTCTATCAGTTTTTAAGAATTAAACAGCCTCTTTTAGTCCAGAAAAGGATAAACGTACTCTTTCCGTCTCTGTGAAATCTAGCGCTTACCTTAAAGTATAATTGAAATTATAATTGAAAAACAAAAAAATATAAATTTTTTTTTGGGTTTTACTAAAAAATAAGGATATTGGATTAAACCACTTCAGGTCCAAAAGTGCGATATCTCAAGCAGAATGTTCGAATGCGAATAACGATGTTTGAATACGAATAACGATCGTTATATTAATGAGGAAGCGCATAAAACGATAATCGGATCCTAAAGAAGACCGTAATCTCCGTAAAAGCGAACTTCGTTTCAACGTATTAAATGAAATCGAATAAAAGATTGGGAGGAGGGTTTACGATGTGATTTGCTATCGCGAAAGCGTTTCCGAGAGATTTGTGCGTCGCGTCGTCCCGACGGAAGGCCTAAGAGAAATCGTCTTGTGTTATACGAAACTGAAAAATTAACTTAGATAGTCTGATATTTCGTGTTGTATTGTGGGTATTGTTTAGTCGACGTGAACGAGGTCACGGTTCTAAGTGGTTCTGAAGCCCATAGGTATTATACTTTGAGTGGCAACCGCTTGGCAGGAGAAAACCTGGTCGCCCTGTATATACTTGGCGACGCGTTGTCGAGAGCAAGATGAGGACTACCGGCAGGCCTGGAGTGATGTGAAGGGGTCTAGTGGTGACAACGTGTGAATGACCTATGTACCAGCGGGGTACCCTAGGTCTACAACAACTTAGATATTATACCGACGTAATTACTGCCACGTACCTCAAGACAGCTTCTAAGTCTTAGTTAAGTAGTAGAACAGCTACCCCTAGCTTTTTTCCATACCTAAGCTATAACCTTGAGAGGCTATGTCAGCGTGACGTGTAGGTGAGCTCTCGGGGTTCAAACTAGGAGGCGTTGCTAACACTGGTCCTAGAACAGTGCTTCGCAGAACCACCACCGGATCGGAAACGCGACCTACTGATAATATCCCGCGAGAAACTCAGTGGGCTGTGTCTATGAGTTAGTTTACTCGCCGAACCCTTCGTCGCAAGCGACAGGTTCGACGAGGACGGTGACCGGTGCTTGATGTATCTAAAAGCACCTTTAGTGGATCGGGAGGGGCCGAAATGACGTGCTTAGGGCGATGTCGACAGTTTACCAGATACGACAGTAATTTGCTGGTTCGCGCTTTTTACGTTTCTAAAGTTTCTACTAACGATCTTGGAGTTAATAGACAAAAAAGTGACGAGCAATTCTTTATCCCGGGAAGAAAAAAAAACTGTTCCTTTAACGCAGCCAAAACCGCGGGGCTCGTCTAGTGATTTATGAGGTAGACCGCATTCGAAGCTGTCTTCTGTCTTATCTATAAATCTATAAATAACAATTAATGACGTAATGTCTTTCGAAATTCGATCGATATAAACATTTTTTATGTAACAAGCTCACAAAAAAAAAACGTGTTATAAATATGACGTAAAAATTTATGATATCCAAAAGCATTTTCTCTAAACGACAATTTTACGATGCAATTAGTTTCGTTGTTGTTGGCTCGCGGATTATTGTTTTGTGGCTGTGGTTTTTTTGTTTATAGCTGTAAATGGGCAGACAGTTTATTGGTCCACCCGGTGTTAAGTGGGCCCGTTACAAAGTTATAGGGCCCGCTTTAATTCGGTCCCAAAAAAGACAAGATTCCACTTAATGTTACTACGATACTATAAAAGTTTTTCCCCCTACCTAATCGTTGGTAGCTTAAGGGGCTATTCCAACTTCGCGCGGACCGGTAGGTGAGCTCACGGGCTCAACCTGAGAGAATTGCTAAACACTAGCCCTAGCAAGAGCAGTGCTTCGCTGAGTCTACTACCCGAGCGAAATTGCGACCCACTGAGAAGATCCGGCGAGAAACTCAGTGGCTATAAAAGTTTGTAAAAATGGGCTTAACCTGAAAACGTTTGCTAACACTGGCCCTAGCAAGAGCAGTGCTTCGCTGAATCTACCACCGGATCGTAATCGCGACCTACTGCGAAGATTCGGCGAGAAACTCAGTGGGCCGTTTTCGGGAGTGCTGCACGTAACAAAACAATCGACATATTACTTAACCGTTATCAAAAATGTCAAAGAAAGTTATATGATCAATGTTACACCTAAAAAGTTGCAAGCGGTGACTTGCTTAAAGCGCTCGAAAGTTGACACCTCCGCGTGATGTAACCAAGCCACTTGACATTTGTGTCAGACAATCCGCTATTTATGTATACTATGTTCAGTTTGATGAGCATACTTTTTATTTTTAATTTTAACATAATTTTATTTTGTGTTTTGCCAATATAACGATGTTATTTCGTACAGAGATGGATAAATTTATTCCATAAATAAAATAGATTAATGTACCCAAAGTTTTTAATTGCTGTTCGTTAGTTTCGCTAAAACACGAGAACAGATGGACCGATTTGGCTAATTTTGGTCTTGAATTATTTATGGAAGTCCAGAAAAAGTTTAAAAGATAGATAAATATGAAAATGCTCGGAATTGTAAAAATAACAATTTTGTTTTTCCTTTGAAGTGTCTCCCGTCGGACGGATTTCTTTTGTTTGTTTTATACAAAAGTTTATCTCTTTTATTTATCGATTGAGGCACTACGAAGTCTGCCGGGTCAGCTAGTCGTCAATATAGTGCGATATAAATACTTTTTTGTTTCTCTTATGAGATAAATTGAGTGGTATCCTCGAGAGGGGCAAATATTAAAAGGACGACCGTTCTAAAGGTGGGCAGATGACATAAAGACCGTTGCAGGCTCAACGTGGAAGAGGAATTGCCACGACCGGGACTTATGGCAGGATTTGGGGGAGGCCTAAGCAAAAGCAAAACAATCTTTGCCGATGTCAAATGCTTAGAAAAATTAGATTAATAGTATGTACCTAAATATGAGTTAAGGTTGTTAATAAAGGCTTCTTTATCTTTATCTTTTATTAGGTAAGGTGCGAGATTCATAACGCCTATACAGTTCCATTATCACATCTTTTAAGTATTGATTGTTACGACATAGTTAAATTTGTTTTGGTGTTCTTTACAAACGTGCCTAAATTGCGGATTAATTTTACGTTAATTTGTGGTTATACCTCTCAGCAGGTATCACGATAGTAGGGTAGTTAATTTAAAAAAAAGGGTAGTTAATTCCTTAGTTAAGTACCATGTTGGAACAATGATATTTGGATCCGTACTATGGATATGTTTCCGCTCAGGTCGCGGACAATTCTCCCACAGATACAGCCCACTGAGTTTCTCGCCGGATATTCTCAGTGGGTCGCGTTTCCGATCCGGTGGTAGATTCTGCGAAGCACGGCTCTTGCTAGGGTTCGTGTTAGCAACGTCGTCAGGTTTGAGACCCCCGAGCTCACCTACTAGTTAAGGTTACGATGAAATAGCCTCTTTAGGCTCTCAGCTTAGGTAGGAAAAAAAGGACAATTCTGCGTCTGCAAAGAGTGTCTGTTATCAACCTCTTGAAGTTTATCATAAAGCTCTTCAAAATTTAAGTTCATTCGTTTCTACATATTATTAATCACAAAAGTTCCGCGTCGAGCAAATTTTTTTTTTTTTTTTTCTATTGCTTAGATGTGTGGACGAGTTCACAGCCCACCTGGTATTAAGTGGGAGCCCATAGACATCTAAAACGTAAATGCGCCACTCACCTTGAGATATAAGTTCTAAGTTCTCAGTATAGTTACAACGGCTACCCCGCCCTTCGAACCGAAACGCATTACTGCTTCACGGCAGAAATAGGCAGGGCGGTGGTACCTACCCGTGCGGACTCACAAGAGGTCCTACCAGCAGTAAAACCACCAGTACTACTACACATTATTAATCACAAAAGTTCCGCGTTGAGCAAATTTGATTTGTTTCGTCTACAAGAACTTCCCCGTACCACAGTATGTATAATAAGTAAGACATTTATTACTTCCCGCCGTAGCTAGCGTGTGTCAGACGGACACGCGACGCGGTTTTCGCTTTCTTCTTTCAGTTTCAATTCAGTTCCAGCACGTAAGGGTAATTGTTTCTTCAGTTTTCACTCCCTGTATAGTTTGAGAATTTGCGGACTTTGCATTAACAGGAAAAGCGTGTCAGAAATATGATGAATGCGTTGTTTAACATACAGTCGCTTCTATAGTTAATGAATTGGATGAGGTTTTTTAGAGGTACACTAATTACACGTCATAATGTTGTAATTGTAAACTTATACATAGTTCCTTTAATATTTCTATTGGGCAAATTAACACAGAACTTTTTTTTTTTTTTTAAATTAAATTTTACCTTTAATTAACAGTAATCCTTATGTCGTCCGTTAAATGTGAAACAGACATGAATATCGAGTCAAAATAAATGGAGTTTTGGTCCTGATGGAACTGGGGTGATTAGGTCAAAAGATTACGCCGAAATACGTTATTAGTTAAAAGGACATGTGACCCTGGTCTTGTAGACGCGAGTATGTCCTTGAGTATCCCATCTCCATGTTAATTTTTAACATTTTAACTGTGTTAGGTCGACTTGTCATCCCATGGAGCTCAGACTTTAGACACGTTACGTTTCTTTTTATCGGGATTGAAAGCCCGAACGTGTGAGTGCCGAACCTACTGTATACTTCTGTGTCCTTAGTGCGAGTATTTTAACTTCTCCAACGCGTAAAAGTTAAGTCATATTTGTATGGAATTGAAACATCTGCACTACATTTGCGGCTAGAGGCGCTGTACCGATTCCAAACAAATCTGAGTTAACTTTTACGCGATCGAGAAGTTAAAAAAACTCGCACTAAGCACACTGATGTTAGTTAATTGAAACTCGAGAGATGGATAGCGGAAATCACCTTGTGATGTATCCAGCCACCTAATGTAAGGCCGTCCCACTCTCTGGATCCAAGTCTGTGGCTTAATCGGAAGCCAAAAAAAACAGGAACGTAGTTTTGTTTGCTGACCAAAACAAAGAATGTTTAAATTGTGATATGTTTCGATAAATTCGATATCTTAAGCCCATATATTAAAAAATAAATAAATTACAAAGTAAATCAAACTCACGCTTGTCAATTCCATATTAGTGACGCACACTTTGCACTTTACGATAAAATGTTATGCTTTTGTGTGTATACCGGTGTACGTTCACGAAATGTATAATTGTATGTTGGATATGTGTTCGAACTTATACCCGAGAAGTGGTTAATTCTTCTGCACTCCCCCCCCCGCGCGCCCCCCGCGTGGTGGTGGTGACTTATGGCAGCGTCGGAAGGGGCCGTTTGAGTGCGGGCTACAGTTCTTAAGCGAAAATATAGCGATGTCCGAACAGTGTCTTCACGTGCGATAGTATTTTTTTTTTTTGTTGTTGCTTAAGTGGGTTGACGAGCCCATAGTTACAACGGCTGCCCCCACCCTTCAAACCGAAACGCATTACTGCTTCACGGCAGAAAAAAGGCAGGGTAGATGGTACCTACCCGTGCGGACTCACAATACGTCCAATCACCAGTAAAAAATGTATCTTCCATTTGACTCCATACAGAAGATGGCCGTTCGGATCGTTGATAATCCCATTCTCATGGATCGTTTGGAACCTCTGGGTCTGCGAAAGGACTTGAGTTCCGTCTGTATTTTGTACCATATGTTCCATTGGGAGTGTTCTGAGGAATTGCTTGAGATGATCATCATCTCGTTTTTACCATCGCACCACCCGCCACCGGAGTAGAGTTCATCCATAATACCTGAAGCCACTGCGTTCATCCACAGTGCGTTTCCAGACATATTTTTTGCCACGTACCATCCGGCTTTGGAATGAGCTCCACGGCGTTTTCCCATGACATGTCCTTTTTCAAATGAGGCTTGTAAAGAGAACTTAAGGGTAGGCAGCGGCTTGGCTCTGCCCCTGGCATTGTTAAAGTCCATGGGTGACGGTGACAACTCGCCATCAGGTGGGCGGTGCGCTCGTCTGCCTACTAAGGTAATAAAAATAAAATAAAATAAAGAGTAGGTTGATTTATTGAATTAAATTGAATGAGTTCTACATTGAACAGACTAAATCATCATTATTTTGGGCATTACAACCGCACAAACCTGGTCCAGTAAACATCTCCAGTTCTATTTATTCGTGGCGTTCCTTCGAATAGACTAAATGGCTTTCTAAAATAGTATTATAGATATGCATATGAAAAATAGGGACGGTGAATTTAAAATGTCGGCATAAATACGTAGAGAGAGAGAGAGAGAGAGAGAGAGAGAGAGTATTATTTATTGTACACCAAAAAACAAATAAACAGTGCGAGATACATTAAACACAAAAAAAGTACAATTGGCGGTCTTATCTCTAAGAACGATCTCTTCCAGACAACCATCAGGTGGACAAGAATCATTTGGGAACGAACTACGCGCGGTGTACCATTCCAGTGAAATACATATACATATATATGTACACATGGAGGGTAGGCGGAACTGTGTCAAGTCGAACATCAGCTCCGAGTATTTTGTAGATTTAAAAATAAAATCAGTGCTTAAAAACCAGTGGAATAGAATATTATGGATTTATAAACGAATGATTTACAACATAGTGAAATAATAACTTATCTGCTTATAAATAGTGAATAGCTGTAATAACAAACTATCATTTTGTTGGGGCAAATGGACAATAATTACGAAAAATTATTACCTAAACGAACTAAATCGCGGTAGGAAGTGACAAAGTGTGAATATTAGTGGACTATTGTGGACTAAATACAAATAGAAGAAAAATTACTTAAATCTATACTTGATGATTAGGCAATTATCATTAAATAAATCAAAACCAGCGCCATCTGTTTAAACTCGATGTACTACGTCCTACGAACAACGAATCATTATCGATAGATTTGCAAACAAAAGCTATCACTTGGATGAATTAGTTTAGAAAAGGAAATAAATATATAGGAAAATAGTCGCTAGATGACACTACCAGTGCTATAAAAATATAAAAATATAATTTACTAATTTTATTCAAAGCATCTCACAAATCATGGAGGACATTATGAATGCACTTCGTCACATCCAAAAAGAGTTAGATGAACAAAAAATCGCCATACAAAGAAGTGGAGAAAAAGTTACGGAACAGGTAACACAAAATATAAATAGCATAATGGAAGAAAAATTTACAATTTTAGAAAAAAAATATGACAACCTCCAAACAAAAGTAGAAAATCAAGAGAAACNTGAGTTGATCGGTTTTAGTTTGGTTACATGCTGCGGGCTTGGGGTATGCGTCGAAATCATTGTGTGATTAGGGTCTTTGCATAATCTCGTTATGTGTGCCTAGGCGTAATTACGAGTAAAATACTGGCCCGACGTGAGCGGTCACCGTTGCACATGTGATTTTAATCTATATATTAATACGTGAAGCAAAAACTTTGTAACCCTTTTTAGGAAAATTTCGCGAACGGAGGAGTATGAAATTTTGCACACTTATAGAGAACTAGCGACCCGCCCTCGCTTCGCTTCGGAAACATTAAATTTTATTATTGATAGGCGAAGCACGCCATGTTGCGCGCGGTACGACAATAACTGCAGGTGACGCCGCGGGCGAACCTAGTCTAAAAAAAGTAGCCTAAGTTACTCCTTATATCATCAGCTACTTATTAGTGAAAGTCTCAATAAAATCGGTCCAGCCGTTCCAGAGATTAGCCGGAACAAACAGACAGACAGATAGACAGACAGACAAAAATTGTAAAAAATGTTATTTTGGTGTATGTACCGTATATATATTCATATACATGTAGTAAAAAGCGGTTATTTCAATACTGCAAACAGACACTTTAATTTTATTTATATGTATAGATATAGAGAAGGAATGCAGAGTAATAATATTTTTTTATTATGCCCAAAAAACGGTGCGCATGCAAATTGGTGCGCGTGAATGAAGTGAAACTTCTTTTTCGATGTATAGTTTTTTTTTATTGCTTAGATGGGTGGACTAGCGAGCCCACAGCCCACCTGGTGTTAAGTGTTAACTGGAGCCCATATACATCTACGACGTAAATGCGCCACCCACCTTGAGATATAAGGTCTCAAGTATAGTTACAACGGCTGCTCCACCCTTCAAATCGAAACGCATTACTGCTTCACGCCAGAACTAGGTAGGATGGTGGTACCTACCCGCGCGGACTCACAAGTGGTCCTACCACCAGTAGTAAATGGTAGGTAGTAGTAGGTAGTATTGTGGTTTACTTCATTTTTCATCTTTAAATCAGATTGCTCTTGTTTTTATTAAATTCCCATACGTACTTTTGGGGAATTAATTTTTCGTTCAATCATGACGGCCAAGATGTTTGAGGTCATCCGCTAAACGACTCACGAGTACTCTTGCTTGAACGTCAGATTGGATGGTAGATCGACTAGCGTGCTAATAGTATCATAAAACAATACGGTTTATACGGCTACCGAAAAAATTATTATCGATTTTCTGAGATGGATTTTTTAGTTGATATCGATAACATAATCGATATATTTTTAGACAATCGATTTGCAAACGCATCTATCTCAAATCTTTCTCCCTATTTTATAAATTTAGTCATAGCATATCGTGGTCCTACGAGAATATCTTTTTGAATTAAATCATGTACATTATTACAACAGTAATGAGCTTAATGGCAACAAACTAAGACCATATGAAAGAATTACATGAGGTATCTTTAAAAAATTCTAAATTTAATGGTACGTGCCCCATCATGAACACGCGACTTTTTGCATTAGAGGCATGCATGAGACCAACGAAGTATGAACGTTACACGTACAATAAATTATTATGTAAAAATGTAAGTAAAATGTGCATATTTTTCCGGGACTCTTAGTACTTATGTATAATTTATTTATTTATTTATTTAATACGTTACTGTATGTATTTTCTTCAATAATGTAATAATAATAGTACATCGCAATATACCTGCTGTATCTTTGTCTTTTCCAGAATTTCTCTTATTTAAACGGTTGCCTGGAGGAAATCGCTTTTAGCGATAAGACCGCCTATTGTACAAAAATGTATTGTTGACTCTTTTCTAAGGTTAATTGTGTTTTGGTGTGCAATAATGTTCTCTTTCTCTCTCTCTCTTTTTCTCTCTCTCTCTCTCTCTCTCTCTCTCTCTCTCTCTCTCTCTCTCTCTCTACTTATTGAGGGCCGCATTCGGGATATGTCAAAAATTTCTTATCCCTAGCTACATATTTAATGCGTAAAAGAGGCAAGAATGTTTGTTATTGTGAAAGTAAGAGAAAAAAAACACATTTAGTTATTACTCGTAGTATAGATACTCAGATAGAAATAGGGTAATTTTTATTCGGGCATGGTGCCTCATGCATGTGTTTTCGGGCACGCGGATTATGTGGGTCTTGACGGTCCGCAGATCTTGGAAGAGGATCGCGGGCCCATGGATGTTTTTGAGGCCTTAGGAGGGGGATACCTCATGAGGATTTCTTGGGAATATAAAGAAAATGGTGTGTTCCCACGTCGTTCCACGGCAGTGCTTTTCGAAGAGATTTAGTTCTTCGAGGCCGTTGAAGCCTTATTTGGCCAATTAACCGCAGACAGACATTCGGCGTTGACTGTTTTATGGTGGAAAGTTCAAAGTCCAACTCAATCCTCCTCTTTTATCATGCGGTCTTGGTCATATTCTCTTGTTGCCAGCGCGCTATAGTGACAGTAGCGTGCGGCATAGCTTCGATACCCCCTGATCGTTCCGAGCGACAGTCGTTCTTCTTCTTTTTCTCCACCTTATCCCACCGTGGGGTCGGCACAGCTAATTTTTCTCTTCCATTCTCTTCTATCAGCCGTCATCTCAACACTCACTCCTGTCTCTCTCTCTCATATCGTCATTCACACACTCCATCCATGTCTTCTTTGGTCGTCCTCTTCCCCCTCTACCTTGCACTACCATTTCCATACATCTCCTAGTCACATGCATCTTCTCTCTACGCAGCACATGTCCATACCGTGCGACAGTCGTTATAAAAGATAAAATAGATTTCGATTTCAGATCCCAAAGTGTATTGATGGCTTTTATCTTTTAAAGTATATGGGTTCCGATAACTACACAATTTCAGCTGGGCCTTGAACTCCTAAACCCAAATAAACTAGTCTATTAAATACCATTTATTTATTTATTTAAGGACTAATTTAACCCAAAGTTTTGAGAACGATCGTCTTC